TGTATAGTAGTGCAGTGTGTATTAGTATAGCATAGTGTATAGTAGTGCAGTGTGTATTAGTATAGCATAGTGTATAGTAGTGCAGTGTGTATTAGTATATCATAGTGTATAGTAGTGCAGTGTGTATTAGTATAGCATAGTGTATAGTAGTGCAGTGTGTATTAGTATAGCATAGTGTATAGTAGTGCAGTGTGTATTAGTATAGCATAGTGTATAGTAGTGCAGTGTGTATTAGTATAGCATAGTGTATAGTGCAGTGTGTATTAGTATAGCATAGTGTATAGTAGTGCAGTGTGTATTAGTATAGCATAGTGTATAGTAGTGCAGTGTGTATTAGTATAGCATAGTGTATAGTGCAGTGTGTATTAGTATAGCATAGTGTATAGTAGTGCAGTGTGTATTAGTATAGCATAGTGTATAGTAGTGCAGTGTGTATTAGTATAGCATAGTGCAGTGTGTATTAGTATAGCATAATGTATAGTAGTGCAGTGTGTATTAGTATAGCATAATGTATAGTAGTGCAGTGTGTATTAGTATAGCATAGTGTATAGTGCAGTGTGTATTAGTATAGCATAGTGTATAGTACAGTGTGTATTAGTATAGCATAGTGTATAGTGCAGTGTGTATTAGTATAGCATAGTGTATAGTGGTGCAGTGTGTATTAGTATAGCATAGTGTATAGTAGTGCAGTGTGTATTAGTATAGCATAGTGTATAGTAGTGTAGTGTGTATTAGTATAGCATAGTGTATAGTAGTGCAGTGTGTATTAGTATAGCATAGTGTATAGTAGTGCAGTGTGTATTAGTATAGCATAGTGTATAGTAGTGCAGTGTGTATTAGTATAGCATAGTGTATAGTAGTGCAGTGTGTATTAGTATAGCATAGTGTATAGTGCAGTGTGTATTAGTATAGCATAGTGTATAGTGCAGTGTGTATTAGTATAGCATAGTGTATAGTGCAGTGTGTATTAGTATAGCATAGTGTATAGTGGTGTGTGTATTAGTATAGCATAGTGTATAGTGCAGTGTGTATTAGTATAGCATAGTGTATAGTGCAGTGTGTATTAGTATAGCATAGTGTATAGTAGTGCAGTGTGTATTAGTATAGCATAGTGTATAGTAGTGCAGTGTGTATTAGTATAGCATAGTGTATAGTAGTGCAGTGTGTATTAGTATAGCGTAGTGTATAGTAGTGCAGTGTGTATTAGTATAGCATAGTGTATAGTGCAGTGTGTATTAGTATAGCATAGTGTATAGTAGTGCAGTGTGTATTAGTATAGCATAGTGTATAGTGCAGTGTGTATTAGTATAGCATAGTGTATAGTAGTGCAGTGTGTATTAGTATAGCATAGTGTATAGTAGTGCAGTGTGTATTAGTATAGCATAGTGTATAGTGCAGTGTGTATTAGTATAGCATAGTGTATAGTAGTGCAGTGTGTATTAGTATAGCATAGTGTATAGTGGTGTGTGTATTAGTATAGCTTAGTGTATAGTGCAGTGTGTATTAGTATAGCATAGTGTATAGTGCAGTGTGTATTAGTATAGCATAGTGTATAGTGCAGTGTGTATTAGTATAGCATAGTGTATAGTAGTGCAGTGTGTATTAGTATAGCGTAGTGTATAGTAGTGCAGTGTGTATTAGTATATCATAGTGTATAGTGGAGTGTGTATTAGTATAGCATAGTGTATAGTGCAGTGTGTATTAGTATAGCATAGTGTATAGTAGTGCAGTGTGTATTAGTATAGCATAGTGTATAGTAGTGCAGTGTGTATTAGTAGTGCAGTGTGTATTAGTATAGCATAGTGTATAGTGCAGTGTGTATTAGTATAGCATAGTGTATAGTGCAGTGTGTATTAGTATAGCATAGTGTATAGTAGTGCAGTGTGTATTAGTATAGCATAGTGTATAGTGCAGTGTGTATTAGTATAGCATAGTGTATAGTAGTGCAGTGTGTATTAGTATAGCATAGTGTATAGTGCAGTGTGTATTAGTATAGCATAGTGTATAGTAGTGCAGTGTGTATTAGTATAGCATAGTGTATAGTAGTGCAGTGTAGTGTGGTGTATATTGTAATGTATAGTGTAGTAGTGTATAGTGTAGTGTAGTAGTGTGGTGTATATTGTAATGTATAGTGTAGTAGTGTATAGTGTAGTGTAGTAGTGTGGTGTATATTGTAATGTATAGTGTAGTAGTGTATAGTGTAATGTATAGTGTAGTAGTGTATAGTGTAATGTAGTGTAGTAGTGTATAGTGTAGTGTAGTAGTGTGGTGATAGTGTAGTAGTGTGTAGTAGTGTGTAGAGTAGTGTAGTAATGTGGTGTAATAGTGTGGTGTGTATATTGTAATGTATAGTGTAGTGTATAGTGTAACGTAGTGTAGTAGTGTATAGTGTAGTGCAGTAGTGTGGTGTATATTGTAGTGTATAGTGTAGTAGTGTACAGTGTAGTGTAGTAGTGTGTAGAGTAGTGTGTAGTGTAGTAGTGTATAGTGTGGTGTGTATAGTGTAGAAGTGTATAGTGTAGTAGTGTATAGTGTAGTAGTGTACAGTGTAGTGTAGTAGTGTGTAGAGTAGTGTGTAGTGTAGTAGTGTATAGTGTGGTGCATAGTGTAGTAGTGTATAGTGTAGTAGTGTATAGTGTGGTGTGTGTATAGTGTATAGTGTAGTAGTGTATAGTGTAGTGTAGTAGTGTGTAGAGTAGTGTATAGTGTAGTAGTGTATAGTGTGGTGCATAGTGTAGTAGTGTATAGTGTAGTAGTGTATAGTGTAGTAGTGTATAGTGTGGTGTGTATAGTGTAGTAGTGTATAGTGTAGTAGTGTATAGTGTAGTAGTGTATAGTGTGGTGTGTATAGTGTAGTAGTGTATAGTGTAGTAGTGTATAGTGTGGTGTGTAGTAGTGTAGTGTACAGTGTAATGTACAGTGTGGTGTAGTGTACAGTGTGGTGTACAGTGTGGTGTGAATAGCATCCATGTATGTTCAACGTTCTTGGCACCGTACATAGCTCACTGTGCTACACCTACTGCTACACCTACTACTGCTGCTGCTACACCTACTGCTACACCTGCTACTACTACACCTACACCTACTGCTACACCTACTGCTACACCTACTGCTACACCTACTACTGCTACTACTACACCTACACCTACTGCTACACCTACTGCTACACCTACTGCTACACCTACTACTGCTACTACTGCTACTACCACTACTACCACTACTACTACTACACCTACTGCTACTACACCTACTACTGCTACTACTACTACCACTACTGCTGCTACTACTACCACTGCTGCTACTGCTGCTACTACTGCCACTACTACTACTACTGCCACTACTACTACTGCTGCTACTGCTGCTACTACTGCTACTACTGCTACTGCTGCTACTACTACTACTGCTGCTACTGCTGCTACTACTGCTACTGCTGCTACTACTGCTACTGCTGCTACTGCTGCTACTACTGCTACTACTACTGCTACTACTGCTACTGCTGCTACTACTACTACTGCTGCTACTGCTGCTACTACTGCTACTACTACTGCTGCTACTACTGCTGCTACTGCTGCCACTACTACTCCTGATACTACTACTGCCACTACTACTCCTGATACTACTACTACTCCTGCTGATACTACTACCGCTACTGCCACTACTACTGCTGATACTACTGCTGCTACTGCTGCCACTACTACTCCTGATACTACTACTACTCCTGATACTACTACTTCTACTCCTGATACTACTACTACTCCTGATACTACTACTACTACTCCTGATACTACTACTCCTGATACTACTGCTACTGCTGCTACTACTGCTGCTACTGCTGCCACTACTACTCCTGATACTACTACTGCCACTACTACACCTACTACTACTACTGCTACACCTACTGCTACTACTACTACTGCTACTACTACTCCTGATACTACTACTACTCCTGATACTACTACTACTCCTGCTGATACTACTACCGCTACTGCCACTACTACTGCTGATACTACTGCTGCTACTACTGCCACTACTACTCCTGATACTACTACTACTACTCCTGATACTACTACTCCTGATACTACTACTACTACTCCTGATACTTCTACTCCTGATACTACTGCTACTACTGCTGCTACTACTGCTGCTACTACTGCCACTACTACTCCTGATACTACTACTCCTGATACTACTACTACTCCTGATACTACTACTACTCCTGATACTACTACTACTCCTGATACTACTACTTCTACTCCTGATACTACTTCTACTCCTGATACTACTGCTACTACTGCTGCTACTACTGCTGCTACTGCTGCCACTACTACTCCTGATACTACTACTGCCACTACTACACCTACTACTACTACTGCTACACCTACTGCTACTACTACTACTGCTACTACTACTACTGCTACTACTACTCCTGATACTACTACTCCTGATACTACTACTACTCCTGCTGATACTACTACCGCTACTGCCACTACTACTGCTGATACTACTGCTGCTACTACTGCCACTACTACTCCTGATACTACTACTACTACTCCTGATACTTCTATTCCTGATACTACTGCTACTACTGCTGCTACTACTGCTGCTACTACTGCCACTACTACTCCTGATACTACTACTCCTGATACTACTACTACTCCTGATACTACTACTACTCCTGATACTACTACTACTACTCCTGATACTACTACTACTCCTGATACTACTACTACTCCTGATACTACTACTCCTGATACTACTCCTACTCCTGATACTACTACTTCTACTCCTGATACTACTACTCCTGATACTACTCCTACTCCTGATACTACTACTACTACTCCTGATACTACTACTCCTGATACTACTCCTACTCCTGATACTACTACTTCTACTCCTGATACCACTGCCACCGCCGCTGCTGCTGCTGCTGTTGTTACCACCGCCACCGCCACCGACACCGGCACCGGCACCGGCACCGGCGTTGCCGCCGCCCCGGTTAGGGGAACGATGCGGAGGACCTGCCCTTCCGCAAGGGCGAGCTGCTGCTGGTGCTGGACAAGCCGGAGGAGCAGTGGTGGATGGCTCGCAGCCGGGACGGCCGCACCGGCATGATCCCCGTGCCGTACGTGGAGCGCTGTGCCGGCGGTGCCGGCGGTGCCGGCGGTGCCGGCGGTGCCGGCGGTGCCGGAACGGCGGTGGCGGCGGTGCGGCAGACGGGCGATGCCTCAAACGCCCCGGCGGGGGTCGGTGCCGGGCTCACGTCACCGCAGCCGCAGCCGCCGCTGCCGATGATGGTGATGATGGTGGGCGGTGGACAGCAGCAGCAGCAGCAGGGCACGGGGAGCATGGCCGGGAACAGCTTGGGCACAGGTGGGTGGGTGGGTTGGTGTGTGGGTAGGTGGGTTGGTTGGTGGGTAGGTGGGTTGGTTGGTGGGTGGGTGTGTGCGTGGGTGTGTGGGTGGGTTGGTGGGTTGGTGGGTTGGTGGGTTGGTGGGTTGGTTGGTGGGTGGGTTGGTTGGTGGGTGGGTTGGTGTGTGGGCGGGTGTGTGGGTAGGTTGGTGAGTGGGTGGGTGGGTGTCTAGGTGGGTAGGTGAGTGGTTTGGTTGATGGGTAGGTGGGTGGGTGTGTGGGTGGGTGTGTGTGTGGGTGGCAAAACAACCCCCCACCTCCTCGCGGTGCCGGACGGGCAACTCTGTCGTGGACAGTGCTGTGGGGGGAGTTCCAATTTTGATTGGCTCCTCCCCTCATGGCATATGTGTCCACCACAGGGGCTAAACGGGGGCTCTGGACGGGTGCGAGGGGCTGGTAACCCCTCCACCTTCAATTAATTACCACAAAACCACGAATTAAAGTGAAATATGTAACAACTAAGCTTGTGCCGGAGGCCCCGGGGGGCCAGGCGTCTATGACGTCTCCTGGCCAAACCCCAATTGGCGGAGCCAGGAGATTGAATACCTACCCTCGGGGCTACTCCAGAAACAACGAAAAGCCACTACGGGTGGCCACGTGGAATGTTCGAACGCTCACTGCAGAGGAGAGGCTGCCACTCCTCTGTCGGGAGCTGGACCGGTACCGCCTGGATCTATGCGGCATTCAGGAGGTCCGGTGGACCGGCTCTGGCTCCTGCCACCATGAGGGGTGGACAGTCCTCTACTCGGGGCAGCAGACTGCCAAACAACAGGGTGTGGGTTTTCTTTTGAACAAAAGAATGAAGGGGGCGTGGGAGCGTGGCGGTGAGGTGTGGGAAGCTGTAAGCCCCAGGCTACTTTGGGCTCGCCTTCCCATCAACCGGAGGCGAGGAATGGTGGTCGTGGTTACTTATGCCCCCACCGAAGATGAACATCCGTGGAGGGATGCAGGCAAAGCCGATGAGTCAGATGCCTTCTATGACCTCCTTTCACAGGTGCTGGCTAAAGTGGCCCCTCGGGATAGAGTCATCATGTTGGGTGACTTCAATGCCCGAGTTGGTCATGATACTGGCACCTGGTCTGGAGTGATTGGAGGGCATGGGCCAGATCAGCTCAATAACAACGGTAGGAGGCTGCTAGATTTTTGTGCAGCCCATGGGCTTGTAATTACCAACACGCTGTTCCGGCATCGGCGCATCCACACAACATCATGGATGCATGCCGGGTCCAAGCAAGAACATCTGCTGGACTACATAATGACGGACCAGCGAATGCGAGCCCATGTCCTTGACACCAGGACCTACCGTGGAGCTGATCTGCCCTCTGACCATCGACTAGTCATCTGTAAGATGTGCCTGCCATTCTTCCACTCCGGTGGTGGGTGTACACCCAGGACCCCATTCCAACCTAAAGTGGCCTGGTCTCAGTTATCTGATGAAAGTTGCAAGCGAGAATTTCATCATCGCTTGCAGCTGGGATTGGCATCGTCCCCGACTCCTCCTGATGTCGAGGGTAAATGGGCGAGGTTTAGGACTGTGACTCATGCAGCTGCAATGGCTGCTTTGGGTACGCGGTCCAGACCTCCCCAGACACCCTGGATGACAGAGGAGTTGTTCAGGATGGTTGAGAAAAAGCGACAGGCCCACTGTCATCGGCTACAGAATCCCACGTCAGAGAATGAAGAGGCTTACCGCAGCCTTCGCTCGGAGGTTCGGAGAGCCGTGAGGCGCTGCAAGGATGGGTGGTGGTCGCGGGTTGCTGAGGAGATGGAGTCTGCCTCAGTGGCCCGTGATCACAAATCGCTATTTAACTCCATCAAAAAAGTAACCTGCAGCGCCACACCTATTACCATCATTAGGGGAAAAAACGGTGATCCAATTTCCGACCACCAGGAACAGGTTCGCAGATTTGCTGAGCATTTCTGTGAGGTCCTGGGGGAGGGAAAATCCCACAGCCAGGAAAACATCGTGGCACAAAGTGAGGATGACCCTGCTGAGGCTGCGGTGCCTCAAATATTGGATGAAGTCACCCCCTGTGAGTGGCTGGCTGAGGTGCCATCTGCTGAGGAAGTATTGAAGGCGATACGGAGTCTGAGACCAGGAAAGGCAGCGGGCAGAGATGATCTCCCAAGCGAAATGCTGAGGGAGGGTGGCGTTTGTGCACAGACTGCCCTATATGACATCATAACAACAGTCTGGACCACTGGACGGGTTCCGCAGGATTGGAAGGATGCCCTGGTGGTCCCCCTTTTTAAGAAGGGGGACCGCACAGACTGTAACAACTACAGGGGCATCTCACTCCTCAGTGTGCCGGGAAAGGTCCTGGCAAGGATTATTCAGCATCGCCTTGCCAGGCACGCTGAGGAGAGGCTTGCGGAGCCCCAATGCGGTTTCAGGAAAGGGCGGTCCTGCACGGATGCCATATTTTCTGTCCGTCTGCTACAGCAGAGGTGTAGGGAATTCCAACAAGACCTACATCTCTGCTTTATTGACCTGGTCAAGGCCTATGATACCATCAGTAGGCCTGGGCTCTGGGTCGTTCTTCGTGCTTTTGGAGTACTTGACCCTCTGCTCACGATCATTAAGGACCTTCATGATGGTGAGCGGGCCCGGGTAAAACTACGTGGCCGGGAGTCAGAGCCATTCCCTGTACACCTTGGGGTGCGACAGGGATGTCCTCTGGCTCCCACATTATTTAACATCTATTTTGACCACGTAGTTCGTGAAGCCTTCAATAGCTGTACCGGGGGAATCTCCATATGGTACAGATATAATGGGAGGCTAATCGATGCCCGGGTGCGGTCAAGGGATGGCTCCCTATTGCTCAACCACGTTATGTATGCTGATGACTTGGTAATAGCTGCTCAGTCAGAGGAGGAGTTGGAGACGCTGCTGCTGAGACTGGAGCGTGCCACTAAGAGGTGGGGCCTTACCATCAGCCCCACCAAAACTAAGCACCTGCCTGGGTATTTTGTACCATCGGACACTCCACCCCCACAACTCCCAATCGGTGATGGGGCAGTTGTGGAGAGAGTGGAGAGTTTCCCATACCTGGGCAGTGTGCTTATGACTGGCTCCAGTTTAACAGCAGAGGTCTCACTCCGAATCAGTCGAGCGGCAATATCTTTTCATCGGTTGCGTAACGCTGTGTGGAAGCTACCTGGTCTGTCGCTCCGCACTAAGCTTCAGGTCTTCTCGGCCACGGTCATTCCCTCCCTTCTCTACGCTTGCGAAACGTGGACCCCCCTAATGGAACATCTTCGCCGGTTAGAAACATTTAGGCTGACCTGCCTACGATCCATCCTGGGTTTAACCAGACTGGATTGTGTGAGGAGCTCACAAATCCTTGAAAGATCTGGGCAGGGTCCCATCGGTGAGCTCCTCCGGCAGGCAAGGCTGCGATGGCTGGGTCATGTAGCCCGCATGCCCAGCCACCGCATGCCGAAACAGCTTTTGTTTGGCCGGATTGAGGGGGCTAAGCGGGCGCGGCACGGGCTAGAGAAGAGATGGAGTGATGTGGTACAGGAGGACGTGGAGCTGAGTGGACTTGCCGATGACTGGTACCAGCGGTGTCAAGATCGGCCTCTGTGGAGGAGGCTCGTGAAGGATGCTACTGGGCAGTTGGAGGCAGTCGCCCTCCAACAACAACGGAGGGCGGAGGAGCGACGCTCACAACAGCGAGCGGAGCGCCGGGTGGCTAAAGCACAGCAGGTTGGCACAGTAGGGGGCACAGGTGGTGCATCAGCCAGTCATCTCAGTCAGTCGACCCGTGGCACCTGGGTCTGCCCCGTGACCTCCTGCCAGCGGGCGTTCGACACTTCGCGTGGCCTCAGGGTGCACATAGCCTGGCACAAGCGTCGTGGTGACGTCACCGCCACTTAGTGGCGAATGGCGGTTGTTGTTGTTGTTGTTGTGTGTGGGTGGGTTGGTTGGTGGGTGGGTGGGTGTGTGGGTAGGTTGGTGAGTGGGTGGGTGGGTGTCTAGGTGGGTAGGTGTGTGGGTGGGTAGGTGGGTAGTTTGGTTGGTGTGTGGGTGGGTAGGTGTGTGGGTAGGTAGGTGTGTGGGTGGGTAGGTGTGTGGGTGGGTAGGTGGGTAGTTTGGTTGGTGTGTGGGTGGGTAGGTGTGTGGGTAGGTAGGTGTGTGGGTGGGTAGATGTGTGGGTGGGTAGGTGGGTAGTTTGGTTGGTGTGTGGGTGGGTAGGTGTGTGGGTAGGTAGGTGTGTGGGTGGGTAGGTGTGTGGGTGGGTAGATGTGTGGGTGGGTAGGTGTGTGGGTGGTTAGCTGGGTAGTTTGGTGGGTGGGTGGGTAGGTGTGTGGGTGGGTAGGTGTGTGGGTGGGTAGGTGGGTAGTTTGGTTGGTGGGTAGGTAGGTGTGTGGGTGGGTGGGTAGGTGTGTGGGGAGTTTGGTTGATGGGTGGGTGGGTAGGCGTGTGGGTGGGGAGTTTGGTTGATGGGTGGGTGGGTAGGTGTGTGGGTGGGTAGGTGTGTGGGTGGGTAGGTGTGTGGGTGGGGAGTTTGGTTGATGGGTGGGTGGGTATGTGTGTGGGTGGGTAGGTGTGTGGGTGGGTAGGTGTGTGGGTGGTTAGCTGGGTAGTTTGGTGGGTGGGTGGGTAGGTGTGTGGGTGGGTAGGTGTGTGGGTGGGTAGTTTGGTTGGTGGGTAGGTAGATGTGTGGGTGGGTAGGTGTGTGGGGAGTTTGGTTGATGGGTGGGTGGGTAGGCGTGTGGGTGGGTAGGTGTGTGGTTGGGGAGTTTGGTTGATGGGTGGGTGGGTAGGTGTGTGGGTGGGGAGTTTGGTAGGTGTGTGGGTGGGTAGGCGTGTGGGTGGGTAGGCGTGTGGGTGGGTAGGCGTGTGTGTGGGTGGGTAGGTGTGTGGGGGGGTAGGTGTGTGGGGGGGGTAGGTGTGTGGGTGGGTAGGCGTGTGGGTGGGTAGTTTGGTTGGTGTGTGGGTGGGTAGGTGTGGGGGT